GGAGGCTATGGACCAAATTTTAGGTGTTGACCAAGGAGACACCTAGAGGCTCCTAGAGGCAGGTCTCCAAAGCCCATCCAACTGCTGAAAACATACAGTCTATTTCCAATTAGCCTTTTTCCTTTTCAGCTTCAGGTAGTTGTTTTGGGGGGTCCCTAAGTTTCTTAACAGCCTCTAGTGGAGGGCAGGGGGTCCAAAGATCAAGTGACTATAAAGATTGAGGTGGAGGGCTTCCCTGGTGGCACAGTGGTTGAGAGTCCGCCTGCTGATGCAGGGGACACGGGTTCGTGCCCCGGTCCGGGAGGATCCCACATGCCGCGGAGCGGCTGGGCCCATGAGCCATGGCCGCTGAGCCTGCGCGTCCGGAGCCTGTGCTCCACAACAGGAGAGGCCACAGCAGTGAGAGGCCCGCGTACCACAAAAAAAAAAAAAAGACTGAGGTGTAAAAAGGTCTGGCAGGGGATAGAGGATGAAGGGGCTTTGAGAAGGACATATCATAGTATTCAAGGGAATTGGAGGAAATACTGAAGGTGGTGAGAGGGCAAAGGAGGAGCAGAAGCAATGAGAAGGGAGATGTCTTAGCGGAGCCAGTGTAGAGAGATCACAAGTTTCCGAAAGAAGCCAGTGAAGTTGCACATTATCCACAACAAAAGCATGCCAAGAAGAATGGAGGGAGACAGAGAATATACTCAGCAGGGGTTCAAGAAGGGGGTTTGAGCCATCTAATAAGTTCTCATGGGAAAAGCAGGACCCAAGAGAGGGAACAAAGAGGCTTCACAGAGAGCCAAGAAAAAAGACTTCCAGCATAAGGAGTCAGGGAATAATAAAAAAGAGCCAGAAAGAAGAGACTTCCAGCCCAAAGAGTCAGGGAATAAATAATCCCCACTCAGGAAAAAAAGAGCCAGGAAGGAGAGATTTCCAACCCAGTAAGTACCTTTCAGACTAGAAAACCTAGGACTCTAACTGAGCTTTCTTACAAACAGAGAAACCTGGGACTCTAACCCAGCCTGTGTTTATCTGGGACTCTATCCCAACTTCTGGAGTATACAGTTGACCTTTGAACAACACTAAGGTTAGGAGCACCGACCCTCTGCAAAGTTAAAAATCCACATATAACTTGTAATTGCCTTCCATACGTGCAGTTCCTTTGTATCCAAGGTTCTGCATCCATGGATTCAACCAACCATGGACCGTGTAGTACTGGAGTATTTACTATTGAAAAAAATCTGCATATAAGTGGACCTACGCAGTTCAAACCTATGTTGTTCAAGGTCAACTGTACTCAGACTCTTAACAATCAAAATCTGTCCTTACCAGCTTCCACGGACGTTAGTCCGGAGCAATGATTCAGGAGTCGGACTCAGCAATGGATCCCCGATCAATCAGTCAGGAGTGAAGATAAAGGCTTCAAAGGTACGCACTTAGGGTCCTGGGTGAGAGGTCCGGGGGTCCAATGATGAATCTGATCCTATCCCGAGTTGTGGCACCATAACTGTTAAAAGGAAAAAAATACTCAATGATACTTGCTAAAGCATGGTAAGGAAGACTTTGGGGGATGGGGCTTTCTCGATACATAAAGGAACCACTACAATGAAACTTTAAAGTGGGGGAAAGAGATTGGGCTTAACTCTGAATACTCCATGAAATAAGAGAAAACTTATAGCTAAGGAGCAGAGTGGTGTCGGTGAATGGAAAATTACTAAGAGAAAACATCTGGTAAGGGGGTTTTTAACTAAATAGACCCAAAAGGATTCTTGCTGAAGACAGGCCAGGGTACTCAGATATCACCTGGGGGATGGTGTAGGAGGAGGAATCTGATCAGACATTGAGGGTGGGGGACTCCTACTAAACTAACTTAGCAGGGATACTGCTAAAACTGCATTTTACAAGGGTGTGCACAGATGGCCCAGGATAAGGTTCAGTAGCCTGACTAAAGTTTGCTCAAGCAAAAAATTTTTGTCACTGGTTTCTTCCTTTACTCACACACACAGTACTTCTGACACAAGATGTGTGCTTTTTCCCCACACCAACCAATTCTCCAACACCAGCTAGATGTCCTGCAATTCAATTCAATTCTGACACTAACTGGAGTTAGTGCAGACCTCACTGGTTAAGCTCTCAGTCCCATAAGATGGCCTCCCACTTCAGAAACCAATCACAAGTCGTAGCTCCCCATGTTACCCACAACTTCTGTCCAACTTGGCTACAAATTGGAGGTTGCCACGACGCCCCTCCTTGGACTCAAGCACTGTTAGAGTACCTCACAGAACTCAAGAAAACACTTACTTATGTTTACTGGTTAACTGTATAACAAAAGACATGATAAAGGACACAGAAGAACAGCCAGAGGAAGAGATACACAGGGCAAGATCCAGAAGGGTCTGGTGCAGGAGCTTCTGTCTCCATGGAGCTGGGATGCACCACCCTCACAGCATACCTCCTGGTAGGTGTGTTCACCAACTCAGAAGCTCTCTGAACTCCATACTTTGAAAATTTTTATGGAGGCTTCACCACATAGGCATGATCAATTACTATCTCAATCTCTAGCCCCTCTCCTCTTCTGTAGGATCCGAGGGGTGGGGCTGAAAGTTCCAAGCTTCTAAGCACAGCTTGGTCTTTCTGGTGACCCACCCCAATCCTGAAGCTATCCAGGAGCCCACCAAGAGTCACCTCGTTAGGTCAAAAGATACTCCTATCACCCAGGAGATTCCAAGAGATGTACGAGCTCTGTGCCAGGAATTAGGGTCAAAGACCAAATAGGAAAAGGAAAGGTGCTCCTAGTTCTCCTATCACTTTGTAAATTATTGATACAAGGGTTTCAGGGGCTCTGTGCCAGTAACTGGGGGCAGATACATAGTTTAAAACCCAGGGTTAAGGAATTTTGTCTATCATCTTTTTGATGATTGCTGCAAGTCTGAGCATTTGAGTTTGAATCACTAATACATTTAAAGCATTGCATATGTTTTAAAAATTCAAAATTACATAAAGAAAACCACATGTACCTGTTTTATAGCTGAAGGCAACTGATGAAAAATATTACGTTTCTCAGTTTAAAACAGCACAATCTCATCTTTTAATATTCTAAGAGTTCTGCTAATGTAAGACTTCCATCCAATTACATTTCTACAAGAAAATTGCTCTCCAAGGCATTTCACTTCAACTGAAAATGTCAATTTCATTATAGGACATTTAAAATTTTTGAATGTCATTTGGCTTTAAGCAATTTGTCTTGATTAAAAAAAATCAAACCTAGACACAAAATAAATGTATCTTACATAAATGTAGATACAAAATAAATGTATCTTAAAACTTTCTAATTATTGTTTATCTACCAATGGAGGATCTTAAAAAGTAGGCCACATTTATTTCAATTACAGCTAAATGAAGTTGTGTTGTTTTTAAACCTGCACCAGATTTAGTCTGTCATAATCAGATTCAGTTTGTCATAATCAGGTAGTTGTTTCAAGAATTTCTTAGAAAAAGGTAGTTACCGCATTACTAAGATGTTATGCTAGGTTTAATTCAGACTATACTGCAACTGATATGAACTGCTAAATGTTATTTGCATCAACAGAACCAGAATTAGCTACAGGTGTCACTATCACAAAACAACAGGAAACACCTTATTACACTGCAAATCTATGCTACTACATTTGGTTACTTAAGTTACCTTAATTTTCTCAAGGAATTTATGAGGTAGCTTCCTTTCCTATTTAACATAAGCTATTTGCAAATGTATACACACTTTAACCTCTGCAGAGACAGACCTTCTATTTGTATTCCATTTCCAATGGAAATCCAAACATCCCCTCATATTTTAATCACACCTCGAGCTTTTTTTGTGTGTGTGACAGGTCTTGTTTTAGAGATGACTCTGTTAGAAGTCTGTCAATAAATACATTGCTCAGGGCTTCCCTGGTGGCGCAGTGGTTGAGAGTCCGCCTGCCAATGCAGGGGACATGGGTTCGTGCCCCGGTCTGGGAAGATACCACATGCCGGGGAGCGGCTAGGCCCGTGAGCCATGGACGCTAAGCCTGCGCGTCCGGAGCCTGTGCTCCGTAATGGGAGAGGCCACAACAGTGAGAGGCCCGAGTACCGCAAAAAAAAAAAAAAAAAAAAAATACATTGCTCAGTTAGCAGCAGAGAAATAACCGTATGTTAGTGGTTAACAAGCCCCATAATTGCAGCATTTAATACCTACTGTTGCTCCTAATGCCACCAGGCTGACTCAGACTAATGAGCTCTCCAGGTGCCACTAACACAGGCCTGTCAAGGTGATCACTCTGCAGTGGAGTCTCCGGAAGAATTCATCCAACCATTGTACTTGCTTCTCATACATAAACAAAGAGGACTGATTTTTAAGGTCTTTGCCACAAGGAAATGCATTGAAAACAAAACACTTAATTTTGTAACAGATACGCCTTCCCTTCTTTTACAAGGTGAATCCTAAATTAGATCAAAAATGCTATTTATAAAGATATTTGTTCAAGGTGGTACCGGATGTAGTTAACACATGAAGTTTTAACCCAGTTGTCAAAAATACAGCACAAAATTAGCCAAAACCTGAACTACAGCCAAAACACAGTTCATAAGTCTTTATGATCGTGGTTATAAAATCACGTGCTTGGTGCACAGGATGATGCAGCCCAAAATGAGCGAGGAGCCCCAACCATTCAAGAGCCAATGCCAGAGCCCAGGACCAGTGAGCCCTTAACAGTATCACCGCCCCAACTCCTCCCAGCTCAGAAATCAGAGACTCCCTGCTCCCAAGAATTTTAACCCTGGTCCTCGTACAAGTCTCCAGAACCTGAACACCAGGTTTTCAGGCTCCAACCACCACCACCCCCCAACAAAAAAAAGTTCACAACATCGCAATGGCATTCCCCTTCAGAACTTAGGCTCCTGGCCGCGCCCTCCGACCAGGCCCGTCTCCCTCCTGTCCCTCGAGGAAGGGGAGCACCCCTCTTTCCTTTGGTCCCCCGCCCGGCAACTCTACTCACAGGCTGACGGCGTCGGGGGGGCAGTGAGCTCGACAGCGCCCTCCAGCTGGGCGCTGGCAGTTTCCTGCGACTGCAATCCAACAGAGGGATGCGGCAGGAGCAGGGCGCGGGGCAGAGGCCTGCCCGGGCGGCCGGCAGCAGGAGGAGGACTGCCTGGGCGAGGAAGAGCAGCCGGGAAAGCAGTCCGGACCCACACTCCAGCAGCGGCTCCTCCCGGACGCCTTGGGGCGCCGGCGCCATTTTTCCCCACCCCCCGACCTGGACGCAGCCCAGAGGAGCCGCCAACTAGAAAAAGCAGCTCGACGGAGACGTTTGGCGGCTGTTCGACCACCTAGAGAAACTGCTGTCGCCTGTACCCTCTAAAGGCAGGGGAGGGGTGGATACAGGTCAGCAGCTGGGTCGGTGGCCGAGGACACAGGGCTGAGGACCTACGGACAACGCTACTCCGCCCCGCCCCACGACGCAACGTCTTCACGCACAGGAGCCAACCAATCGGTGCCACAGGACGAGGTCGCGTCGGGGGCGGGACTCCACGAGGGGCGGGGCTGGAGACAGCGAGCTCCTTAAGGAGGACTTTAAGATGCTCAGCTCTTTGGGGAGCCCCCTGGAGCTCCGCCGCCGTTCCTCCGCTGGAGTGTGCAGTGGCTCCTTAGGAGGGAGTGAGGGCTGAAGCGCTGAAGTCCTAAGTCCTGATTTGAGATGTATCTACTATAGTAGTAGAAAAGGGTCTTTTATCTTCTCCCGGCACCAAGAAAGGGGAATGGCAGAAGGGGTGCCTTCCAAGTCGCAAACACTAAGGGGGCGCGGGAGCTTTCATGTAGCCCACGGCCTCCAGAGCCGAGCTGGGTCCTCCTCTGCCCCTCCTGGTCTGCAGCTTCTGCAATCCTGCAAGTGGAAGGAAACTCCCACTCTCCTAACAGAAAGCAGGTTACCACTATCAGTTGATGGGCTCTTAAGCTCCTCAAGGCAGATGCCCTGTTTTTGCATCTGTGTACCTCCAGCTTCTGTTGTCTTGGAATTCAATAAATGTTGATTGGGCTGCACTTGCAAGGCATGTCTTTAAGTAAAATACTCTTCTTTCCTCTGTTTTGGAGAATGCTGTCCTATATTTACACTCACTCTCAAAAAAGCAAGCAGGGCATGTAGATAAAGAGGGTGTCAAACTGTCAACAAAGTAAAGGCTGGATGTAAGGAATTTTTTTATTCTGAAGCAGAGGCTGTGGAAAACCTACCAGGAACAGTGAAGTCTGGCCACCTTGTTAGCGCAAGTTCGTGTGCCTGATGCACAATGAGGCCAAACAAACCAAAACGTCGGAGTCTGGAGCAGAGAAAGGTTTATTGCAGGGCCACTGAAGGAGACCGGTGACTCAGGCCCAAAAACTCCCTGAGCTCCCCAAAGGGTTTTGGCAAAGCATTTTTAAAGGCCAGATTGGGGAGGAGAGTCGCAGGGTATGTGATCAGCTCATGAACAATTCTCTGATTGGCTGATGGTGAGGTAACAGGGCAGTGTCACAGGGGTTAACATTATCAGTCCTTAGGCTCCAGGAGGCCTGGGGCTATGTGTTCATGGTCATCAAGTAGTTAATATCATCCGTTTGGTGGGGGTTTTTCACACCTGTAAAACAACTCAGGATATGTGCATCAAATACTGTTATGTATGTAATTCAGAGAAGAACTAAAGCAGAGGATGTGAGGAAAGGCCTGACCTGGGAAGGCGATGTAAGGTCCTACTCAGTTACAACCTTAGACTCACTCAGCCGTGCATTATACCCAAGATTATGGATAAGACTTTAAAAATAACAGTGATAGTTTACATTTACATTTAGTGCTTTTATGCTCTTCAAGGAGCGTTTGCATCTGTTACATTGTTTGATCCCTCTACTGCTGTGAAATTGGCAAGACAGTTATTGCTGCTGAGGAAACAAGCCCAGACAGGTTAAATTAACCTAGCCAGAAACAGAGGTAGGCTGGCATTAATTACTATGGGTTTTCTGACCCTTGTAAATTAAAAACCTGAGCAGGTTAAAAGGAAATGATAATGCCTAGAACATAGGGTTGTCCTAGAAAGTAACTGAAATCAGTCTTTCCATGGCAGGTTTGGAGTCACAATTATGCTTTTAAAAACCTTTTTCTGTTTCTTAATATTGAAATATTTCTTGGAATCAAGGACAATGCTCCAATCCAAACTGAACTTTTAAAACCAAGACAGCAGGGGACTTCCCTGGTGGTGCAGTGGTTAAGAATCCGCCTGCCAATGCAGGGGACACGGGTTCGAGCCCTGGTCCAGGAGGATCCCACATGCCACAGAGCAATTAAACCCGTGCACCACAACTATTGTCTGCGCTCTAGAGCCGTGTGCCACAACTACTGAAGCCCACGCGCCTAGAGCCCGTGATCCACAACAAGAGAAGCCAAGGCAATGAGAAGCCCGCGCACGGCAATGGAGAGTAGCCCCCACTCACCCCGCAACTAGAGAAAGCCCCTGCGCAACAACGAAGAACCAGCACAGCCAAAAATAAATGAATAAATAAATTTAAAAAAACAAAAAACCAAGACAGCAGAGTGAAACTTACTCTTAGCCTCACTTCCCCGGCTGTTGAAAATGCTTAACAACCTCCACTAAGAAACTGGGCATAGGCAAGAGACCCACAAAAAAAAGGGGGAAGAGGCATGTTAGTACCACTCTGCGTTATAGTTTCACAGCTTCCCTATGGGCTCTTTAGAAATTCATGCTCTCTATCCTGTGTCTTCCCCAATAAGTGGTACAGGTCACACCAGCTAGGAGTCCCTCCCAGCTCTTAATTCCTTCTGCACATTATTTTTTTACCATATTTGATAGCACTTATATGTACCTTATATATCTTTGTACTCCCATATGGACTAGCACAGTAACTGCCACATAATAAACATTCAATAAATGTTTGTTAAATGACTGGATGATGAGAATTATTTTACACTCTACTTAATAAAGTTATCTAAAAATTTTTCTTTTAAAACTTTCATGGGGGTTTCCCTGGTGGTGCAGTGGTTGAGAGTCTGCCTGCCGATGCAGGGGACACGGGTTCGTGCCCCGGTCCAGGAAGATCCCACATGCCGCGGAGCGGCTGCACCAGTGAGCCATGGCCGCTGAGCCTGCGAGTCCGGAGCCTGTGCTCCGCGACGGGAGAGGCCACAACAGTGAGAGGCCCGTGTATAGCAAAAAAAAAAAAAAACTTTCTTGGTATGAAAAATATACATAGCAATAAAGAGAATCACAGTGCAAGCCCCCATGTAGCCAACTAGATTTACCAAATACATGTTTTTAATAAAGAGTTTAGGGACTTCCCTGGTGGCACAGTGGTTAAGAATCTTCTTGTCAATGCAGGGGACACGGGTTCGAGCCCTGGTCTGGGAAGATCCCACATGCCACAGAGCAATTAAACCCGTGTGCCACAACTACTGAGCCTGTGCTCTAGAGCCCGTGCTTCGCAACAAGAGAAGCCACCGCGATGAGAAGCCCACGCACAGCAACGAAGAGTAGCCCCGGCTGTCCGCAACTAGAGAAAGCCCACGCGCAGCAATGAAGATTGAACGCAGCCAAAAATAAATTAAATAAATAAATAAAGAGTTTAGTGATATGTTTCTCCATAAAAATGGAATAAAGTGTTTTTGTATCCATTGCCCTAGGATTATCTAATTAATCCTTGGGTGTCAAAGTACCTGGGGAGAGTTTTTAGAGTTCAGTGTGACCTATAAGCAGAGATAACTCAGCTCCAGACTCCTAAAGAAAACTGTTCACTTTGGATCCCTTGTTCCAGACCTTTGTATAAATACAAGACCTTTGTATGAACACTACCCCCTTAAAATTCAGCTGTCCCATCTCCCATTATCTATTTCCCATTATCTCTCCCATTGTCTCTATTTCAGTACAGAGACATATGTACTGAAATAGTTGTATGGTTTTCCTTCTTCGACGCACACATATATACACTAGTACAGTATATGTTATATAACATAGGTCACATATACCATATAAGATATGTAAATACGATATGAGATATACATGTGTGTAAAACATAATATTCTAGACACATTCATTATGAAAACTCTTTGCCAACTTGGAATATATGAACTTCCTTAAGCTGATAAAGGGTATTTACCAAAACCTACAGCAAACTTCATACTTAATAGTGAAACATTAAAACTGTTTATTTCACATTAGGATCAAGACAAGAATGCCTATCATTTCTTCTATATAACTGTGTACTAGAGGTTGGAGCACAAGTAAAAATATTAAAGGTATAAGGATTTTTTTAATTGAACTATAGCTGATTTAAAATATTAGCTTCAGGTGTGCAACACAGTGATTCAATATTTTTATAGATTATACTCCATTTAAAGTTATTACAAAATTTCCCTGTGTTGTACAATATATCCTGTTGCTTTTCTATTTTATTAACTTTTTTTAAAATTATTAAATTTATTTATTTATTTATTTTTGGCTGCATTGGGTCTTCGTTGCTGCACACAGGCTTCCTCTAGTTGCGGCGAGCAGGGGCTACTCTTCGTTGAGGTGCACAGGCTTATCATTGCAGTGGCTTCTCTTGTTGCAGAGCACGGGTTCCAGGCACGCGGGCTTCAGTAGTTGTGGCACGCGGGCTCAGCAGTTGTGGCTCATGGGTTCTAGAGCGCAGGCTCAGTAGTTGTGGCACATGGGCCTAGTTGCTCCATGGCATGTGGGATCCTCCTGGACAAGGGCTCGAACCCATGTCCCCTGCATTGGCAGGCAGATATTTTTGTAATAAATTTATGTATTTTCTTTTATTATTTATTTATTTATTTTGGCTGCATTGGGTCTTTTGTTGCTGTATACAGGCTTTCTCTAGTTGTGGTGAGCGGGGGCTACTCTTCATTGTTGTGCGCGGGCTTTTTGTTGCAATGGCTTCTCTTGTTGCGAAGCACAGGCTCTAGGCACACGGGCTTCTGTAGTTGTGGCATGCGGGCTCAGTAGTTGTGGCTTGCGGCCTCTAGAGCACAGGCTCGGTAGTTGTGGCTCATGGGCTTAGTTGCTCCGCGGCACATGGGATGTTCCCAGACCAGGGCTCGAACCTATGTCCCCTGCACTGGTAGGCAGATTCTTAACCACTGGCAGGTGGATTTTTAACTACTGCGCCACCAGGGAGGTCCCTTGCTTATCTATTTTATAGATAGTAGCTTGTATCTCTTAATCCCATATCCCTATCTTGCCCCTCCCCCTTCCCTCTTCCCAATGGTAACAACTAGTTTGTTCTCTATATCTGTGAGTCTGTTTCTTTTCTGTTATATTCTGTAGTTGGTTTATTTTTTAGATTCCACATGTAAATGATAACAGAGTATTTGTCTTTCTTTGTCTGACTTATTTCACTAAACATAATACTCTCTAGTTCCGTCCACATTGTTGCAAATGGCAGAATTTCATTCTTTTTT